AATCAGTCCTCTGACAGAACAGCATTCATGAGGATAATTGTAGAGGGGGCTAAAGACTCATTAATTTATCTTCTTCAGAGTTTATGGGGTTTTGAATGTAAATGTGTGACTTTGGCCAACAAAAGCCATGGCACATGTTATTTTCTTCATTATTTTCTCATCACATAGTGTATTTTATCTTAATGTCCCAAAATAAAGGTGAGAGATTATACAATCAAAATTAAAGACGTTTACATTTTCATTGACTTCAGTTAAACAACATTCAAATGGGCAAAATTCTAAAAGCATTTTTTGCATACTTCTTATTCATTAAAGGGTTAAAAAAGTCAAAGCTGAGAAATGTTACAGCTTTTATTTTTGTATGACAGAATTGTATAAGATGATTTTGTTTGAAAGTGACAGAATCCCCTCAAAATTGTCCCTAAAATGACAATTTTCCCAGCAACAAATCTTGAAATCAGGGTATTTGCTACAGTGTTTGAGCAGTGGTGCTTTGGATCATGTAGGTTTGGCTTGTGATTGTTGGCAGGGCCTTAAAGTTCCAGTGTCTGCCGTCCATCAGGCTGTTGGCCACACTGTTTTAATGTGTTGCTGGCATACCCTCACAAAGTGCTTCAGCTGTTGTATCAACTGAACAAAATGGCTTGATGAAAAACTGGCATTGTTTCATTGTGCCATCCATGGCATTACGGCATATGTGATGCTGCTGCCTCTGGTAATTTTCATATGCATGTTCATATGTTACAGAGAAAATAAGGAGGTGGAACATCAGCTGTCACAGCAGAGCCTTTCAGTGTAGATATTACACAAAGTGATGTGATGAGGGATATTGGGATGCTCTATTTGATTTCATTAGAAAGAAAAATTAGATGAAACTCTTGATCCCGGAGGAAGATTTGGAGTACCTCTGGCAAATAGATGAAATGCTGTTTGATTTGTAGCTAAGAAAGAACAGCTGATTAACAATGCAAATGTGTCACAAACAACATTTGGCTAAATAAATGACATTAGTTTTACTTGGAATGGGGGAAAAAAGAAAGAACTTTGGTTTTAAATTTATATAGACCAACACTGCAACAATGTTGGAATAAGAACAGACATTTCTGTCATCTTAATATTCGATGATAAGTACAGTTTTGTGTGGTTAACAGACTGGGTAGCTTTGTTTAGAGCCAGGAACTCTCTAAACAGAGTATATGTTTGATTTCTATCCATTCCTCTGTCATCTCCATCAGGTGCAAAAATATTCTAAATGCGTTGTCTTCAGAGGCTGTGAAATGATCTGATAATGACAAGGAATGTTATTACATATGAAGTACAACAGAAAAGCAAAAATACGATAAGCATTCAAAGGACAATGTCAGCTTTGCATGTGCTCAATATCACTTTGATGTGGTACACTTTTGAACTAATGGCAAATCCTATGCACTGTTTTTTTTATGAAGACAATTGTGCCCGTTTTTCGCACAATTACAGATCACATTTGCCAGCCACAGACCCAGATTTGTTGTCACATGCTGCTCTGGTGTGAGTGGCTGTCAGGGTCTTCTTAACTCATCCGTAGCTGACAATCCTGCTTTATTGAGAATGG